ACTGTTCGCAGATGACGTTATGTTGACAATCACACAACCACAGATCTCACTGCCAAACCTTATAGAGGAAATTAGGGACTATGGAGCCCAGTCATACTACAGATTGAACGTCACTAAAACACAGGCCATGGGGATCGGGATACCACAAGCCACGGTACACGCCTTAAAGGAAACCTTCCATTTTGACTGGAGAGACGACTACCTCACCTTCCTAGGGTTAAAAATCCCCAAACACCCAGGCAAACTCCTAGAACTGAACTATAGCAGACTGCTGACGGAGATGAGTGACACGCTGAAAACATGGGAAAACAAATACCTGTCGTGGGTAGGTAGACTGACAGCCTTTAAAATGATACTATTGCCCAAATTCCTGTACCTGACAAGGACACTACAAATATTCCTCCCAAACACATATTTGAACAAATTACAACGCACAATCACACGCTTTATATGGGCAGGTAAAAAGATCCGAGTAGCATCGGCAACACTAAACAGACCCCTGACTGCGGGAGGACTGGGCATGCCAGATGTGCGAGTTTATTACAAAGCAACACTCATGTCAACTTGCCTCCTCTTACACGCAGACGGGGACAAGCCTCAATGGGCCGAGATGGAGGCGATAGAAATGGGACAGAGTAACTTAAAATATCTGTTTTGGGTACCCCACAAATTGAGACCCAGCCCCCACAAGATGCTACCCACCACCTTACTCTTATTAGATACATGGGACTCCACAATGAAAACCCTGGGCCAAACACTGCACTGGGGAATGTCGACCCCATTACAGAGCCTGCACATAGCAAACCCCACGCTGGATTACAGACCATGGATCCAAAAGGGATGCACACTGATTAAACATCTCTATCACGAGGGCAAACTAGAACAATACCCAACCCTAAGACAAAAATATTTGCTACCTAGCAATACGATGTTCTCATACCTACAAATAAAATCACTAATAATAAAAGACACAAATATTGCAGCCCCGGCACCCCTAGCATGTGTTCACAGCATATGTGAAAAAGGGAAGGTACCACACAAAACCATATCATATCTATACGCCTTACTAAACGACAATCCCACGATTCGAAAAGCTGACACCTTCAGAGCACAATGGCAAGCAGAGCTAAACACCCAGTTTACAGATACTCAATGGCAAGAAGCCTTCACAGCCCATAGGGGGAGATCCAGGTGCACATCACATCTGGAGCTCATGAGGAAATTGCAATATAGGTGGTACATGGTACCAACACGGTTAGCTGCAATATACCCAAGCGCCTCCGAGGTGTGCTGGAGATGTGGCCAAGAGAGGGGCACGATGCTCCACATATGGTGGACATGCAATCGGATAATACCATATTGGCAAGAGGTAGAGAAGACCATCAAGACAGCATTACACTCTGACATAACCTTGAAACCTGAACACGGTTTACTATTCATGTCACTAGAGACCTACAACAAGCCGCAAGCGGCATTACTGTTCCACATTCTTATTGCAGCGAATACACTGATAGCGAGGGCATGGAAACAAACTGAAAGACCCAGCTTAGAGGAACTACTCAGGCAAATCTCCACCAATTTGCTATACGAAACGAAGCTCACCACACAATATGGGGCATCTCACCACATACTCCAAGCTAGAGAATGGTGGGAACACACAATAGAAGAAGACACGGAGAGACAGAAACTACAAAACTAAATAAATGACCCACAGCAGGGGAAAGGACGACTGAGAAAGAGGGGAACATATGGGGGAAGAGGGGTGCCACCACTAAAGAGCGAAGGAGGCCGAGGGGAGAGGAGGCAGGAGGCAGTTTAGCTCCAAGTATATATATTGCTATGTAGTACAGGACCATTTATATTTATATATATGTATATAGTTAGGACAATGCACACAGGGCACCACACCAACAACGACAGAGGGATATACCCAGCAATGCGCTAAAACTAGAGCAAAGAAGCCAGACACACGGGGGCGCAAGGTTGGGATCAAACAGGGGGAATCACCCTCCTCGAGCAATAGTGATGTACCCTACAGCACTGATATTCAACAGACGCACTGCAATAATGCATACTGTAACCCTGTAACCCTTTGAACAAGGGAATATATTCAAGAAATATTGCATGTGATACTTGTGAATTTGTCCAATACCCCTACATCCCTTTCTCTTCTGTATCCCAACAAGAAAATGTTTAATAAACAGACGATTGAAAAAAAAAAAAATATATATTAAAAAGAAGATTTTATCTTTAGGAAATACTCATTTTTGAAGGGGGTGTGACAATGTGCTTTAATGTGAGCAAACAAATTATACAACTCGCCCAAACACTCACAGACCCATATTGTAGTCAATATATTCCTGATACCTTGGTCTCACTGTCCCCTTTCAAACAAAGCTCGAGGACAGAATTTTTTTTTCAAAAACATGTAATTTGTTTTGTATAACAATAATTCATAAAACTACAGTGATAGGAGATTCACCTTTAACCCCTTAAGGATAGCGGGCATAGAATGTGCTTGCCTTCCTTGCCTCCCACGTGTGCGCCGCTGTTCGCCCGCTGCAGATCCCGTGTTTTTTTTTTTTTTTTTTTAACCATTTCAGTTCTGATCACAGCTTTAACACTGCCTAATTAGGACATTTAGTACTTTTGTACTAATCTTAATGTGTTTTTTTTAAGGTAAAAATAAAATAAAAATTTTGATTATTTTTGTTAGCAGCAGCGATTCTAAGTTTCCTTAACCCTTTCCCTGCTGCTGTGATCACAGTCTTGTACAGTATCTCTGCTGTACAGTACCGTGCCAGTGATAACTGATCAGAGGGCTTTCTGATCAGGCTAACTTTTTGGGGGGTTTATTTTTTTTTTTTTTTAAATAACCCTTTTAGTACTTGTCGCAGCTGTCTAAACTGTGATCAGTCATTTTATTAACATTTTTGGTGTTTTGTGGGTGGAAGTGTGAATGGAAGTGTGGATGTTAGGCAGGTATGAAATACGTTTTTAAAGCTTTTAGCTTATGTGAAAGCCCGCCTGGCACTCCGACTGTGTACCTCCGCCAATCGATGCTTCCTAGCTGTCGCCGAGTACCATAAACACAGCACCTGACACCATAAGCACTGTAGACACTTAGCCACCGCAGCTTGGCTGGGGTCTCCCTTCCCACCCTGGACCAAACTCCTGGATCCAGCTCCCAGTGGGAAGACCTTTGCTCCAAGAGAGTATAGCAGGATAGCTCTTACAAGAGCTAGTGATTAGAGCAATCCAAAGAGCAATCCCAAGAGCAGGGATTATAGCTGGTATAGCTTTCCCCTACAAGCACGAGACGAAGCTCTGTGTTGAGGGTGAAGTAGAACTCTTTAATGGCAGCCACAACTGGCCTTATATGCAAGTCCCCATGCAAGGGGTTTACTGTGACATTTTCCAGGGGCATTCCCGACTGGACCTGAGAGGGAACTATGACAAAGTATACACTGTAATGACATTGGCTCTCAGGTCCAGGACACTCCCACACAGAACATGATAATCCCTCCCCTGTGCCTGAGAGATAATTGAGTCAGGAACTGTACTAAACTCAATTATCTCCAGGCACAGAAAGCATACATTACACAATACCTCAAGAGTACCCCCAAAACACATGGACCCCACGAAAGTCATATCCAAGATAGCCCCGATCTGGGGGACGAACATATCCAAAAATCACCCAGATCGGTTCAGGGGTTTGGGATTTCCATGCAAGTCATAATTTGACCTCTGGAACTGACCGCACATGAGGCTCCTGCCCAAAACAGTTCCAGAGAATCAGGGCTTGCGGTCGGTCTAGTTCGGTAGTTTAAAAAACAAACAAACTACCGAACATAGTCAATAGTGTTACCCTGGAGCTTGTTCCCCTCTTCCAAACAAACAATTCCACCGAACAGTGCCCTTCTAAGTTGTGCGGAACCGAAACGCAGGCGATGATGAAAGTCCAGCGGTGTTCAGGAGTTTCTTTGTCCGATTTTAGTCCCAGGAACTCGACGACCAAACACCGCCGACTGTGTTCATGCAAACAAGATGGACGCCACCTTGTGGTCGTTCATTCGAACAGTGGCCACCCAGACAAATAATTAGAACACAGCGGTTAGAATCGTTACCAAGTGTTAATGGAGTTTAACAAGCTCCTGTGTGGTCTCTGGTTCGTGCGGCTGTTCGGTTCCCGAACCACGTAATCCCAATTATACGTACAGAGCCTTTTTCAAGTAAGTTTAGCGAGGTCTATTGCAGGGGCCATAGTCCTGAGGCAGGAGGCTGGCAAGTAGGCCCCTCCAAGAACACTAATTCCCCCAGAAATAGCCACATTCACTGTTACACCTAGCAAACCAGTAGCAGTGTATGACTGTGAGCCAATTAATTATTTTGAGCTCTTTATGTCTGACAACATATTTGAGTTCATTGCTCAGCAAACAATAACAAAGGAAAGTGGGGAAAAAAACACCTAGTATACGTAAGGAAAACTTAGAACCTGGAAAATCTGAGCCAGGGTAGATGAATCAATAGTAGATCTGTAATAATCACAAACATAACATAGCGTAATCCCGTAGAAAACAATATAAAATGTGTAATGTTTAGAAAAAACACAAATAGTGATGTCCCGAACGGTTCGCCGCGGACGGCTAACATATGACCCTGTACCTCACAGTCAGCAGACACATTCCAGCCAATCAGCAGCAGACCCTCCCTCCCACCTCCTGGACAGCTCACTAAGAATGCAGCTTCAAAATGGATGCTGTCCAGGAGGTGGGAGGGAGGGTCTGCTGCTGATTGGCTGGAATGTGTCTGCTGACAGTGAGGTACAGGGTCATATGTTAGCCGTCCGCGGCGAACCGTTTGGGACATCACTACACACAAACATATGATATATAAGGCTTCTCACCCCACCAGGGGTTAACACAGAGCAGGGGATGGTGGATCCAAGATGATAAGAATCATTAAACATGTGGGGGGAAAAAAGGCCACACATAGTGATGTAAAATTACAACTAGAATATAATTTATTAGGTTGCACTTACAGACACGAAGAGAGTCTAGAGCATATCTCCACACAAGGTGGAACTCGGCGATGTAGTGGGTCTAGGAAAACCAACTTCAACACCGGAGAGATATGTAAAAAAAAGAAGATAAAACAAAATCAAATTAAAAGTCCATAAAAGTTTGATGAAATAACAATCCAACACGTTTCGTCCAATGTGAGACTTCCTCAGGGATCTGGTAGTTCTTCATGTTGCATGTTTCTTGTAATGCTGGAAATCTTCAAGAATCCGTTTCACCTTATGTCGTGTGTTCCACTGTGGAACGCAAAAGATGCACTACCTGTGCGTCCGGGGAAAGTGCTGATGACGTAGTCGTTCATACGGAGGTAGCTTGCAAATGGATAAAGGAGCCATAATCATAGCACGTGTGCATGTTGGGAGAAACATGCGCACACACATACAATCACACAAAATCTATATGAAAGGGAGAAGACAAAATAGGCGAACAGTCGCCTTGAAAACAAACAGTCTGATTGAAAATAGACATTACAGACCTCATTGATATACTATGCTGTCGGGAATATCAAAGAATAACAGTGAAATATACTCTTGTGTATATAAAAAGTGTATAATTAAATAGAAAAAAATATACATAAATAATGAATCTAAAAATAAAAAGGGAAAAATATATATTAATAAAAATTTATGATGACCGGGGGGCGGAGCCTAGCTTCCAGGCTGATCAGACGTGCAGGAACCAAGCTCCTGACCAAAACTGCACATTTAAGGGTAAAAACCCCTAAAAACCGGCACGTCTACTATCAGGAGGATGCTAAACAAGGAGGGGACACCCGGAGGAACCGATTGCCACCCGATTCTCGTCTAACAAGAGCCGGGAACCCTAAAAACCTGCTGAGGCCTACTGGGGATCGAACCGAGGAGAGGCGGCCGCTTTCCTCGCTAGAGAGCCAGACCACAGGCTCAGCATACCTCCTAACTCCTTTCCCCCCCCCCTGGACCGGTGGGGGACATCCCGGTCCAAACTAAGCGACTGAAGCACAGACTACTAGCTACTGCCAAGGGGCCTGAGCCAGACACCTGGGTGAGCCACGAGGCACCCTCAAGATGGCCGCCACAGCGCAACCCCAACACAGCCCAGTAAGCCAGACGGACCAAAGCTGGAGAGAGGCCTTTGACGCCCGGTTTGAGGCTATTTGCCAGGCCTTCTGGGACCGCTTAGCCAAGCGGGGACCCCAGCCGTGCCCTCCCGAAACAGAACCTACCTACCACACAGCAGCGGACACCTGTCCCTCTTCTGGGCCGGGGGCCCAACTGGAGGAAACTCCAGGCCGTAGTCCGACCACCCACAGGGAAGACCGCAAGCCGGAAACCCCGGGGACCCACGATCCGGCCTCCCGACGGAGGGGGATCCACGGACAGAGGGCACTAGCCCCCTACAAAGCCCAGAGCCGAAGAGACAGAGACCCATCGTGCAGCACACAGAGCTCGCAACGCGAACAGGGCAACCCACGTTCCCGCATACCGACTAGAAGCACGAGCAAACCAGACCTGGAAACGGACTCTCCATTGCGGCAAGCACGGGGCATAGGCTGAGGAAGGCATACAACACACCCATCAGCCTACCTCCTGAAACCTGCCAACGGTCTGCGACCTAACAACCCCTCATGGACACTGTTAACTGTAAATAGCCCATTGTACACACAGGCTTACTCACACCTTAGCTAACAACGAAAATCCTAGCTTCTATAGCTATATCAGTCTTATACACGCTGTCGCTTCACCAGCTTGTTACACATAGATCCTACACTTCTATGCCTGATAACATCACACTAGCCTGGCATATTACCCACACAACATGCATAATCTACCTGCCTAGCAATGTGTAACCGCAAGCTTCCAACTTAACCCACGCTCTGACCAAGCATATTCACAGCATAAATACATACTTACAGACGAAGCTACACGGTTAACCCTGATTATGTTAAACAAGTTTATGTTCTAATGCAACTGTGCCTGATATTCAAATGCCCAGCACAATAAGAAAGGGTTAAATTAAATTAAGCATGGTTACAGCTATTTAAGCGGTTAAATGTTAACTGTTATGGTGATTAGGATAATGTGATTGTCGAGTGCTATTTAGCTTAGTATAACTGAACACCGAATATAACAAAATGAATGATCGCTGTATAGGCTCCATACTCTACACATGGTATAACAACTGAGTTACTAATGCCAACCTAGCAAAATTAGCGCTAACGGAACCTTGTGTACAAAATGTTTATCTAGCACGACTCAAGCATATACCCAAATATAAAATTAGTGCACTGTTCAACATACCCCAATGCTCTTACTACTGTGTAACTATTGTCTGGAAATGTGCATGTGGATTGCCTTTGGGGTACCCCATGCCTGTTTGTTATCTTTATATGCACTGCAAAAAAAAAAAAAAAAAAAAAAAAATTTATGATGACCAACAGCACAGTATAAATACATATGGTAGCATCATTATAGTAAAATAGATTAAGTGATTTGGGCTTTTAACCCTAGTAATGGGTATCATCAAAAAGCCCAATATCAGGTCCTACTGACACAAGCATTATATCCTGGCTACCCTTCTTTTCCCCGTGGTTAACAAGGGATCTCTACCTGCAACTGCTGCGATTCCTTCATTTTAATGACAACGCACTGTGTCCCCCTGTCATGCCAAAGCATGAGTTGGAATTTGATATATGTTATGAGTTGTTTTTGCCCCATGAGGGCGCAAGATATGAGAGATCAGCCGGAGGGAACGTCATAATGGAAATGCTATTACCCATGCTGCCATACTTGCTCAAAGGTGATATAGGCCCCCAAAAAATAAATGTCAAATTTCAATGTGTAAAAATTTTAATGGGCAAGCCAGATTTGACCCTGTAACTTTCTAATTGCCATAAAACCTATACATGGGGGTACCATTGTACTCGTGAGACATCACTGAACACAAACATGAGTAAAATGTATAAATGACAATTATATCATCAGTGAAAGTGCAGTTTTGTGTGAAAAATGAAAAGAAAAAAAAAAAAAAAAATGGCCCAGCGTTTGTGACTAAGCAGCTACTACAAAAGACTTGAAATACCCTATTTTGAATACCCTGGGATGTCTACTTTTGCAAATGGTATGCCATGATGGGGGTAATTTTCATTTCTGGGCTGCCATACAGTCTCCATACAACATAACCAATCTGGCAAATTTCAAAAAGGTAAAAAGTAAAATGGGAAAGCCCTATATATTGAAACTTAAAACCTGTAACAGCTTTACTTGTGGAATATTGCTGAATACAAATATGTGTGTTTTATTGCAGTAAAAGCGGAGAAGGGCACCTAAATTATTTGCTTTTTGCAGTAAAAGCAAAACAGTATTATGGCATTCACAGGTAAAATGACATACACGCATATTTGAGTTCAGTGTTGTCTTCAAAAATCACAAACTTTCTTAATTTTTCAAACTTTAGATTTTATTCATATTAAAATATGTTTCGTATATACACACACATTTGATGTGAAATGAAAGCTCTTTTTCTCCTGAACAAAAAATGATAGATAATATGTAAGTGTGGGTGCACTTAATATAGAAGAGGTCATTTATGGTTTAACAGACATATAGTCAAATTCTCTGGTTTGTTTAGTTTGTTTTGAACAGAACTTGTACGATTGGCTCTGTCCTTAAGGGTTAAATAAAATTACTTTTATTACAATTTGTAAACAGTTCTCCAAAAACAAATATATACAAATTTGTATGGTTCTTCAATTTGAAATGACTCATCCAGTTAGTTTCAATGTTTTATTTTCCATTTGAAGCTGCAAGAAAAAAAAAAAAAAAAAAGAAGAAAGAATTGTAACATGTTAAATGCTATATTTATTCTACAAACCAATTAGAAAAACAAGTTTCATTAAAATTAAAGTGTCAGGTTTTTTTTTAGACCTCTGTAAAAAAAAAAAAAAAAAAACACAACAACATGGTTAGCAAATGTTGCAAGTTATTTACAGTGAGACTCAGGGGCGTATTAGCCGCGAGGCAAACAAGGCATTTGCCTTGGGCGGCATTTTTCAGGGGGCGGCAAAAAACGCCGCCCCCCAAATGCCCAGGGCAAATGCCTAGTTAGCCTTGCGGCTAACTGACATCCCGGTCGGGCGGGCGGGCGGCTGGCGAGGGAGCTCTTCCTATGAGCACTCTGCTCAGCTCCCTCGCGCACCGGCTGCAGAGTGAGGCTGGGAGCCGGAAGATGACGTCATCTTCCGGCCCCCAGCCTCACTCTGCAGCCGGCGCACGAGGGAGCTGAGCAGAGTGCTCATAGGAAGAGCTCCCTCGGCAGCCGCCCGCCCACCTGCCAGCGCCGCCCGCCCGACCTGCAGCCACCGGACCACCAGGGAGAGAGATCCCCCTCCCCCTCCAGCACTTCCAAAGGTAAGGAGGTTGGGGGGGGATTTAAATTAAAAAAAGTTAATGTGTGTGTGTGTTTGTGAGTGTGTGTGTGTTTGTGTCTGACTGTGCGTGTGTGACTGTGTTTGTGACTGTGTGTGTGTTTGTGTCTGACTGTGTTTGTGAGTGTTTGTGAGTGTGTGTGTGTGTGTGTGTGTGTGTGTGTGACTGTGTGTGTGTGTATGTGTCTGACTGTGTGTGTTTGTGTATGTGTCTGACTGTGTATGTGTCTGACTGTGTATGTGTCTGACTGTGTATGTGTCTGACTGTGTATGTGTGTGTGTGTGTATGTGTCTGACTGTGTGTGTGTATGTGTCTGACTTTGTGTGTGTATGTATACTGACTGTGTGTATGTGTCACAACTGTGTGTGTGTGTATGTGTCTGACTGTGTGTGTATGTCTGACTGTGTGTGTATGTGTGTCTGACTGTGTGTGTATGTGTCTGACTGTGTGTGTATGTGTCTGACTGTGTGTGTATGTGTCTGACTGTGTGTGTATGTGTCTGACTGTGTGTGTGTGTGTCTGACTGTGTGTGTGTGTGTCTGGGCTGTGTGTGTGTGTGTCTGACTGTGTGTGTGTGTGTCTGACTGTGTGTGTGTGTGTCTGACTGTGTGTGTGTGTGTCTGACTGTGTGTGTGTGTGTCACGGCTGTGTGTGTGTGTCTGACTGTGTGTGTCTGACTGTGTGTGGAGTGTGTGTGTGTCTGACTGGTGTGTGTCTGTGTCTGGTGTGTCTGTGTCTGACTGTGTGTGTTTGTGTCAGGCTGTGTGTGTTTGTGTGTGTCTGACTGTGTGTGTTTGTGTCTGACTGTGTGTGTTTGTGTCTGACTGTGTGTGTGTGTCTGACTGTGTGTGTGTCTGACTGTGTGTGTGTGTGTCTGACTGTGTGTGTGTGTGTGTCTGACTGTGTGTGTGTCTGACTGTGTGTGTCTGACTGTGTGTGTCTGACTGTGTGTGTCTGACTGTGTGTGTGTCTGACTGTGTGTGTCCTGACTGTGTGTGTGTCTGACTGTGTGTGTCTGACTGTGTGTGTCTGACTGTGTGTGTCTGACTGTGTGTGTCTGACTGTGTGTGTCTGTGTCTGAGTGTGTGTGTCTGTCTGAGTGTGTGTGTCTGTGTCTGAGTGTGTGTGTCTGTGTCTGGTGTGTGTGTGTCTGTAGTATGTGTCTGACTGTGTGTGTCTGTGTCTGACTGTGTGTCATGTCTGACTGTGTTTTGTGTCTGACTGTGTGTGTGTTTGTGTGTCTGACTGTGTGTGTGTGTTTGTGTCGGCTGTGTTTTGTGTCTGACTTCAATGTGTGTTTGTGTCAAGACTGTGTGTGTTTGTGTCTGACTGTGTGTGTTTGTGTCTGACTGTGTGTGTTTGTGTCTGACTGTGTGTGTTTGTGTCTGACTGTGTGTATTTAGAAGGTGGGGCGGGGGGAAGGGTTGGGTGGGGGTGGCGCGGGGGGAGGGGCGCCTGAGTTTTGTCCTGCCTAGGGCAGCACAAAACCAGGATACACCACTGGTGAGACTGTCCCTCAATAGTGATGTCCCGAACGGTTCGCCACGGACTCATCATTGAGTAAACCACGAACGATTGGCCCAGCATTGTTAAAAAAGGTGAGTAAACTCACCTTTTTAACCCCTTAAGGACAACGGACATATGAGGTACGTCCGAAAAAAAAACAAAAAAAAAAACGGTCCTTAAAGTAAATAGAGAGCGCCG